TTTGCTTATTTTTATTTTTTTAATTTATAAATGGAAGGGCGAGTAGGATATTTTAAGTTTTTTTGCTTTATTTTTCACATTTTGTTCTTTTTTTTTATAAGACATTTTAAGTTTTTTTATTTGCTTTTTTTTCACATTTTGTTTTATTTTTTTATAAATAGGAAGGCAAGTGGAACAATTTAGTTTATTTTTTGCTTATTTGTTAGTTTTTTTAGTTTTAAATCAGAGGTGATTGAATAATGATAACGACAATGATGAGTTATCGATTACAAAGATGATTTCTTTTTTTTTTTATTAATTTGCTTATTTTTTAGTAGTATTTTCTATTTGCTTGTCGAATAATGAATAAATTAATAAAATTAATAAAAAAAGATTATTTTCCGAAATTGTAAAATGAAATAAATGTAATTTACAAAATAAATTTTTGTCTAAAATTCAGACAGATGATTGATAGATAATTGATAGCTTGTTTTAGACAGATTTTAGATAAACGATTGATGCGATTGATGACCGATTGATATTTTTGATTGACTCATATTGTATCAATCAAAATTAATGTAAATCAGTTCTAAATCAGCCATCAATCATCTATCAATTAACTATCTGATTTTTAGCCAATTTGTATCTATTTCGACCAGTATAGGTGAATTTTACATTTCACGTTATATAATAATTATACTGTTTTCGTATAGAATCACTTATTCTTACATAATCACAATTATTTTTAATATAAAGGTTTGGGTAAAAAAAAACTGTGTTGCAATTTGAGCAAAATTTTCAATTCCTGAATAATGTAAATTATTTTATTTTGTAAGGATTTCTGTTAAGTATAATCTATTATATATAAAAATATATTAACACAAAATTAAATATAAATAATTTAGAATTATATATATACTGAGAGAGATAAAAGTATTACATAGTTTTTATTTAGATATTTTAGTTAATTTATCATATATAACTAAGCCATATTTTTTGTAATATATTGATTATTAATTATAGTTTGAATTAATATGTTATAATAGAATTTAAAAATACTTTTAAATTTCGATTTAGTGTAAGTTATTGTATAATTAAAGGACTTATTTTTTTAGAAAATAGTTATTATTACAACAAAAAATTAGATTTATTAATTCAGAAATTATAAATATTATAGAATGTTATTATATAATTATTATTTGGTTTCTTTTATAAAAGAAATATCTAAAAATCAAATATCGTATTTTATAGCAAAGTTTAATATATGTAAAAATTAAAAAGTAATGTGTTTTTAAATTTTAAATTTTATATTTTGCAATACTTTTAATTTTAAATAATTTATTAAGCATAAATTAACCAATATTTTATTAAAAAAATATGGCTCAGTTACATATGATAAATTAACTAAAATATTTAAATCAAAATTTATGCAATACTTTTTTTGTTCTTCTTTAACATATTACTGAATATATGTTATATTTGATATAAGTTAAACAGTTAATATTATTAAAGTATTTATGATATTAGAGATAATTTGCAATGCTATATTCTAAACTTTGTTTAAATAAATATCATAGTATAAATTAAAATAAATCTTAAACTTAAAAAAAAAATTATTGTAAAAAAATTATTGCATAAACTTATTTATTATTTGTTATAATTATTTATATATAATAATATTTTTGAAATAACTTTTTTTAACAAGATATTTAAGTATTATACTTTATTTAAGTATAGAAATTTTTAAATAGAATTATTATCAAACATACTTAATAGTATATTAGTTAGGATTAAAGATGAAGTTGTAATTAATTTTAAAATTTTTAGCTAGTTGTAACTTAAGTTGCAACTCATTGAGTTGCAACTATTTATAAATTTTTATATTAAAATAAATTTTGCAAGGAGTTGCAACCAGTTGCAACCCAAGTTGCAACTTATCGAGTTGCAACTTCTTAATTACAATGCTATCTTTAGTTAGGATTGTTATTACATAAATAGTATGTTGATTATTTTCTTTAGTATATATTATTTGAGATTAAATATCCTATTAATATTAGAATTCCTATTATTATAATTTACATATTTATTATATTTGTTTTTTATAAAGAAAATTCTAATATTACTAAGTGATAGATAAAATATTTGTGAATTTAACCAAAAAGTAATAGCTTAATCTCATATTATTAGTTAAATAAACCTTATCTAAAGGTAAAATTTCAAATTTTTGTGATTGAATTTTATCTCTTTTTATTTTAATTTTATTTAATTATCATAATACAACTAACTTTACTCGATTTACCAGCAGTATTTTATTTTTCCTTTATAATATATTGTAATGCTAATTTTTGCAATTTTAAGTATATTATCTATAAGGTATTAAGAATTCTAAACCTGTATAATATATTTTTCTAATGATTTTTCTGTATTTTTTGTCTTAAATTGCCATAATTATGATAATAAAAGCTTGTGTCTAGCATTGTATTTGTAATAGTTATTTTGAAGAAGATATATAGAATTTTAAATAAAGTAAATTTTATTCTTTTTTAAGATTTATTTATTTGTTTATTATTATTTTTTTATTTTTGATGCGTTAGCAGGTAATGGAATATAGTATATTATTACAACCTAAGCTGTGTGCTATGGGTGACTACCTAAGATCTCAACATAATTTTTCATATGAAGCAACCATTAACTTGCACCAACCCTGAAGGTTGCTATTTAGGAATAGACTCTACACAACCCTTTTGAGGGGGCATGCATAGGTTCCTAGACCTCTAGGTCCTATCAAATTTGGATAGAGGGATCACTTCAGCCTATAGAGTCGTCACTTCTATGCTTTACCAAAGTCAAGTAGTCTTTATTTGTTTATTATGTATATCAAACCATTTTAATAAATTATTTTGTTTATGATTGGATTTGTTAAATATTAATACCATTTTTTTTTTAAACAAAATTTTCAAAAATTTGAACTTTGACTTGCAATTACTAACCTTTTTTTTATGTATTTAGTATATAAAATTTTTTAAGTTTGATTGTTATAGTATAATGAAATGAGTGATGGTTTCTATGTGAAATTTTTGATTAAACCTCCCATATGATATGTAATATGCGATCAACCATATATATTTCCATAATTAGTATTGGATAATGAAGATCATGAATCCCATAATTCCACATTTTTCACATTTCAATATAAATAAGTACAGATTTCATTTGTCTATTCCTTACATTCGTTCTTGCGAAATAGATATATCTATAGGCTGATATCTTTGGATAAAGATTTTTAACGAGGTAAACTGCGCTCCCTGTTTTACCATAGTTTTAATGATACAGTCTACAAGATTGTTAGCATAGCGAGGCTCAAGGAATAGTCGCTTAAAGGAATTTGCTTCCCTAGACATGGAATGCGAGTGTGTCACTCCCTGCTAACTTTTACATATTTTCTTTCTTTATAATAGATTGATCTTTTATACGTTTCGAACGGGTTCGATTTGCACCATATACAATATTCCTTTTTCATAGTTAGTGTTTATAAGGGAAGATGATATCTGTTTTCGAATAGGAATCGATTTGCACCATGTACTTTCATAAGTGGTAAACTATCGATTATGCTGTTGCCTGACAATTTCCTCTTTTATGAATATTTTTAATAACCGAAGTTTTTTATAATATTTACCGAAAAAAGATTATCGAAAGGCGCAGTAACACGCGTCAAATAATATAAAGTTACTTTTTTTACTTTTTTTTTCATATTTAATTAACGTTAATTTATTAAGATTTTAGAGTATATTTTAAATAACACGAGTATCTTTAAGATCGATTATTATATCTTATTTCTCTAAATAATCCCTTTTTTTCGCCTTGTTTTGTCGAAAAAAAGTTAAACCTAAATATTGACAATCCTAAGAAAGGTTTCTAAAATCTTAAAAATTGTTATCTTTTAATAATAACAATAATAATTATAAATCCAATGTTAAAGAATTTTTTTCGGGCTGCGATTTGTAACGCAACACACATTCTGAAAACACCAAAAATTAGCTTTGTGACATGTAACAGTCCGGGACATGTTAGCAAATTGGGACTTTAAAAAAAGCCATGATATGATATGACGAATCGAATGGTAATTATTTGTATTAATCTTGGAAAATTTCTTGGACGGGACATTTAACGGGACATTTAAAATTTTCAAAGGTACCTAAACTAGTGAGCCAATTTACGATATTAAAAAAAAATCTCAATACGATAGGACTTTGTATAACAAATGCTATATCCTCCAATAGGTTGAAATTGTTTTTCTATATTTTTATAAACAAGTATCAAGGTATTTTTTATCGCAAATCGCAATTGGGTAAAAATGTTTCAATATCTAAAACGAAATAATAATTTAAACGATCTAATTTCGCTCTTGGTGGTCACTGGTTCTAATTAATATTCGACCTTTATAAAAAAAACACCCGATCCTACGCAAACTCGAAGAATATATCCATGTATTTTTACTGGTCCTCTTTTTCGCAAAAGACATGACAATGAAACCATAGTTTTTTTTTTTGCACAAAATCTCCAATATGATTTATTATTTAACATCATATTTTTTTTAATTGTCTCGACAAGGTAAGAGCATAAACGCTTTTATAAATATATTCTTAAATCCGTTTTAAAAACGCAAAACCTCATTTTTATCAGACAAAAAAAAATAAAATAAAATAAAATTTCGGTCTTTAGAATCTCTGACGAAATTATATTAAAAGTACGCGTTATTCTTTATTTCTGTTTTTTATTTTTTATGTATTTTTATGATTTATGATTTTTTTATGATTTTTTTTATATATGTCGATTTTTTAAACGATCACTCAAGACTTCAGCCATATATATATAAATATAATAATAATAATAATAATAATAATAGTAATAATAATAGTTAGTAATAATAATAATAATAATAATAAATGTATATATATTTATATAATTAACAAGGGTGTTTATTAGAGATTGATTAAATCTCTAATTTAAAATATCAAGATTTATCTAAAAATCTTCCATGCTCTCCTTACATCCCTACTAAATAAAACTATAAAAGCATAAATGCCAGTAACGGCACCAACCCAATCATTAATGCTAACTTTTATTTCAAGTGGTTTGTGAGTCAACAGATCAATTATGGTATTGATGCTTGCCAAAAAATACACGAGCATAAAGGTTATCGAGAAGATTGACATCCGAATTGCAGCATCTTTTGTCATATTATACCTCCTTAGATTCAGATTTTGTTGCGTCGAAGAACGTTGTGGGAATGGGGGAAGTTGTGATGATAAAGTCGACTTTGGGGATTGTATTGGTTCAAGTGAGATGTTTCCCGGTTCTTTCCATGATGAAGTACTTAATGTTGTATCTTGACTAGCGTCGCTGATCGAGAATTCTGATTTAAATTGATCCAAATGTCCATATAAAGTGTATGCCGAACGAGCTATAATGACGGAGTAAAGTTTAGAGAACCTCGTTTTTAAAAGGAATGGACAGTGAAAATTGTATGAAAAAGCGATATTTACCACTAAAATATCCTCCAGGTATACTTAATAATAGATTGCCTCCAGAGTAACCCAACATTCTAACCCAAACAGGATTAGCCACATCACTGTTGAAATATAATAAAAATATCAATATACATACTTTTTTAAACAAAAAAAAAAAAAAAATAATAAAAATTATGAATTACCATTTATATTGTCTGGGAATGACAGCATCGGTTTTTAAACTAACGATTAATAGGGGTACACCCAACAATATAGGGTAGATTAAGATCAATACATAATAAAGTTTCTTGTTTCCAAAAGCTGTTGATCGATTGTATTTAACTATTAATGAATAACTTTCATGAGCAAAGCATACGGCTGACATCGCGGTTATATAAGTAAGAAATTGAATCTAATGATAAATTACAAGATGTTAGAACAAATAAATTAAAAGACTTATTATCGTTTGCGCGATCAAGCGAAACTCACCATGTATCCTTGAAAAAAACAAAAGGCTTTAGGAGCCTTTGACAAATCATTTCCAAATATTATACCGCTTAATGAAATACAACAAAATACACAATATGTATAACAGTAAATACAAATCAATGGATTCTTTCCAAGTTTTTGTAAACTGACTGCAATATACAATGAACCAAAAAATGATATTCCGTACAATATATTGAGAATTAATATAGACGTTATCATTTTATTATTTGATGATGGATGAAAGGAAAGGAAAGGGAAGGTGAAAGGTTTGAGGAAAAAAAAGATATTTAATTCCTTAAAAAAAGAAATTTATTAGAAGGAGTGAAGGAGAGGATAAGGGACGTTATTTTCGATTACAATTGAAAATAAATCAAGAAATTCTCTTCAATTAGAAATTTGATTCGTATTTATCGTATGCAAAGTTGCATAAATGCTAAAAGTGGCGAATAAAGGATCGCTTACCGACATTGTAAACTTGAAAATCATTAACTTTTGAGAATAAATACGCCATATAAACAATAACCATTTATAAATCAAAAGACATCTAACTAGAATATATATAAATGTATTTAATTAAATTACAACAATCTGTAAGTTTAAATGATCGAAAATTGGAAAACAAAATCAGACTTGAACAATGTGTGATTTAGCAGCGGCGTGCATTTAAACCATTAATCATAGTGAACTTGATAAATTAACCTTTTTAGCATCATTATTATCTTTAACATTGTAATTGGATTATTCAAATTAATTTTGTGTATCTAAAGTATCTAAAGTGAAGTTATATGTTGTTTACCCTCTTAAGTAATGTAGAGAAATTGAGTTAAATTTTGAGTTCAATTAAAGGACATCCTCAAATGACCCAAAAAAGGAAATGGCTTTTCTCGGATTTGATGTTCATGTAATATTACGGGTCATACAGAAACCCAAATTCATTCCCGACATCTTTCACGTGACATAAATTTAATAATGGCAGGTTCCACGGATCATTATGAATGCATACCCCGTACGAATGCATGCCACTTGAGAAACTCGTAATTCATGAGTTTAAAAACTCCAATACAATTATGAAGTGAATAAACGTGATCATGGATCCACCGCTCTTAAAAAAGAACAAAGGGAGTTGATTTTAGTTGATTTTAGTCTCGATCTGGTCATTTGAAGTTAGAGAAGGTCGGTGCAAGGTACTTATTTTCGTCCCATGCAGGCCTCTACTTGAAGCAGAGTGTGGATTTGGACATATTTTATGTACAATAGGACATTTATAATTTTGTGTCCAATGGGATAAACATCCAACATTTGATTTGAAGGTTATTTTAATGATAAAAATACAAAGAATGAATTAATTTATTATTTATTGAGTAAAAAATAAATTGTAATAGTTAAAACCGCAAAATTAGAGATATCGCGAGCAATAGAAAAAATTGACGTTATAAATAGTTCACATGTTACTGAAAATAAATAAACTTTTCTCTAGTAATCACAAATTTAACATAAAACCAAATATTAAGAACTTTTAAATAATCCAGAAACTAATAGTCTGAAGTGCCGGATAAGTAATTTATCCGATGTCCCGTGATTATGAAAATACTATTATTTAAAAATTTTTCACACTTACTCGCTTCTTACAATGGAAAATGTAAGTATTCTTAAATTTTAATTTATAAATCATTATTAGTTATTAGTATTATTTAAAATTTGATAATAGTGAACCTTTAGTCCTATTAATGGCAATTTCTGCAACTATCTTAAAGTAACAAAGGAAAAAAAGAAATATTCTTAATTCGGTTATGCAAGGTTGATTGAAACTACAGAATTTGACACTACTAAAACTGATGATACGCAACTAGACCATTATTATATTATTAAAATACATTTTAAGATTTATATTGGTTATCCAATGGTTGGTTGGCTTCACAGTTATCAAAAAAAAGGCCATTGCAAGAAAAATTTCCTTCAGAGTCAAAATACAAATAAGAAGAAAAAAGAAAGGAAAGAAAGAATATTGTAAATTTTAATATTACAAATACGCCTTATACACGATTTTATCCTGATACAAGTTTTATTATAGTTAATTATAAAAATCACGGGATGCCGGATCTAAATAAGTCATGTGCTCAAGGAACGAACAAAATTACGACATTTCAAAATCATCAAGAATCTTAAAATTCAAAACATAATAACAATAAAGAAACCTATTTTCAAAATGTTCTTTTATTTTAACTAGGCTTTTAATATTAAAAATTATGTAATGTTAATTGGAATTGGACGACAAAAGTCCAATGAATTGAAACGAAACGGAAAGCGGTTCATTTACTGCGCCATTCAAATTTCGTCAATGGTCAAATTATGATGCAATTATGGGCATAATGAATTCAATGGTGATTTTAGACAATTACATTATGAATTAGACTCCTAGACCAATTTCTTCAATCAACCTCCCAAATTCTGAAAATTTACAAATTTGCAAATATCCATTTACGATTTTTCTTACCACCCACCCTCCATAGTGTAGTTTATAGGTCGTGGTGATCGGATGTTATACACGCATCAAAAATATTTTGGTAGAAGTTCTAATAAAATTTTGGTCATAATGTTTAACCAACATTTCTGTTCACAGGCTGTATGCTGTTCCGATATAGTAACGTTTCAATAAATTCATTGATAAATAATTTACAGAATGATTTTCTATACTTTCCCGGAAATTTCAATTCCGGGTTAATAAACCTTCCACGGTAAATTTAACAATTCCAATTATTATTCAAAGATCATCCAACCTATAGTTTTCGCACTTAATATAATAAAGTGTAGCGTGATACTATTTCACTACCGGAATTAAAATTAATTACATAACTTATTTCTTCAACGTCAAATTGGTTCTGCTGAACAAAATTAAATATAGTATTGTTACATGTTTGAAGGATACCTAAAGTCCAAAAGTTTACTCGTATAATGATTAATTTGATATTATGCATATGTGAATTATCTACCATAAAAAATACGAAAATTAAATTGGATTACAACATTTCTATTTATAATAAACAAAATACTCCTAAATCCTTTTTTTTAATAAGTTGAAAAATATTTGATAGTAACAGGATATTACCTAATATGAGTTATATTCCTTTCTAGGTAATTCATCTCCTATAATGTTTCATAATATTATATATCATTGCTCCGATTTCTTTTTTTTGCGTACTACAACCTCATAATAAAACCTCCGATTCTCGATCATAAAGGATCGACGTCGCACATAATAAATATAATGAGGAGCCGAACCGATTTGGACTAGTTTAAATCGTCACATCTTCATGGTGCCTGATTAAATTACATAAAAGTATTTTTTGAAGATTAAAAATGTTGTAAATATTAAGTTTTTTTTACATTTAAACATTTTAAAAAAAAATATAAATCGTGGTTAGATAGCATTTCTTAACTTAATATTGGTTATCAGATACAGAAATCAATAGATTGATGAATTTATGATTTACAGTATATTATCTGAATTCTGAATTATACATAGAATAAGAAGAAAAATCATACAATTTGTCATTAGTTTTTCTTATGAATGAGACTTTTTAATTTGAAATTTCTGACTTAATTTTATTAATTTTAGCAAGGGTTTTCTCTAAATATCAAAAATGGTTTTTCTTTTAAAAATATCGAATGGATTTTCAAAATCCCGAGCATCAAAAATAAAAATAAAAGTTCATTGGTGAAATAAATAAAGATACAAAATATTTGAGTCTAAGATTCTTAAACATTTGATATTCACTATAATTTTTAATATTTGAAAATCTTTGATTACCGGATTTTCAAAATAAAATTTGAAATCATGAGAAGGTTGCTAGGAAAATCAGGTTCTGAGAAATTTTTTTTGACTAAAACTAAACAATCAAAATTTTGTTAAAAAAAATTCTCGGATCCCCCAAATTATATTTCGATATTCGAAAATCATACTTTTGTGAATATTTGAAACTTGATTTGTAAAATTTCAACGAAAAATCAAAAGTCAACAGAGAATCTCCTTCATTAGAATGAGAGAAAGTTGGTGTTCAAGTGATTATGAAAAGTTTATTATGGTTTCACAACGACAATCCGCAAGTTTCACTAATACGTCATCAAATGTTCCAAAAAATGTTTCGAAATAAAATAACAATCGTTGAAGATGGTTGAAGGCGCATAAATTTAGTAAAAATATATCCCTATTAACTCTTTTTATTAATGGAAATACATGACATATGCTACAATTTTAATTGTTTGAAATTTTTCTTATGTGCTAAGCCGTGATATATACTGTACGCACATATTCTTGGTAATTCTTGGTAATATTTTTGATGTGATCATGAATCAGCGAGATTTCTCTTCGCACCAAAACGACTTTTTTTTTTTAAAAAAAAATATACATGATAACTACTGGTCAGTTCATTCTAATAAAAGATTTTCAAGTATATAATGAACAATAATTAATAAATGCGCATTGACAAACTTTATACTTTGTGTGAGAACCAAGGTAAATCAGACCAGTATAATTTGAAAATGATTCATGAACTTATCTTGTTATTGTGACAATATCGCAGGAAAGATTGGACAAGACCTTGGAATTGATTCATTTTGGAAAAAAAGATTATCCTGTTTGGTTGATACGCCCTTATTAAACTTTACAAGTTGCTTACGCAGTGTGGTGAAATTAAAAAAAAATAATTACTAATTATTCCAATCGATTGTAATATCCTTAATATTATTACATACCATAAAATGTAACAAAAATAAATATCCTTGTGACATCTCTCATGACATGTTTCTATTAATAATGCGGACAAAACATGCAAAACATGCAATGCACAAAACATTGAAACATATCATAACAAATCATTCTTAATTTTGAATGTACGAAAAAAAAAATTTTTTCGATATAATTTAATTCATTGAGTTACATCATCAAGAACATCTTTACGTAAATTCCAAGAGATTTCTTTTCAAACAAAGAAAAGAAAAAGTAAAGAAAAAAGAGAGAGAAAACCAATCAAAAAACTACAGATTTCATTAAAGTAACAAGATCATTAATCCCGATTCATGGTATGACCAAATTTCCAGCCGAAACTTAGGTAATAACTTCATTAAATAAAGTTGATCAAATGTCTATCCATATCTAATAAACCTTTTGACCATTTAGTTATTTTCAGCCGAGAGAAAGGCTTAAGTTAAAGACATCGCCGAAGTAACCACATCAGTCGAGGACCGAACGAAAGAAACTGTTTCCAACTTTACATATAAATTTCAAGTGATTAAAATCATTACAAGTACAAAAATCTCGAACCGGTTAATCTTTAACCGATTAATTAAGGATTTTTGAGCCGGTTCCAACCTCGAGCGTTCTAATAAACAAATTTTCTCACGTCTGAATGTTTTGAATTTTAATGTAATGGTCTTACCGTTTCAACTTTCGGTTTGACAAATCGATTATTACAATGATTTTCCCGGTTAGACATGAGTATTCAAAGTAAATATATCAAGCCTTGACCTTCGCATTGGCCACCAAAGTTTGGTGTCATGTCATTATTAATGATAACAAATTTTTTTTTTTTAAAAAAAAAACAGTTGAACCCATTACCTAAGATAGAAATAATGCCACCTTTTAATTAAGAATTTAATTTCCGTGCAAACTTGAACCAATAATTGAACGGTTTTTAAGAAGGTTCAAATAAATCATTTACAAAGTTAAATATTAAAATTAACGGGGTATCTTTACCCGATTAATATTTCAAATATGAATTACATGAGGAATTGATTGACCCCTGTTTCCATTGGTTTTCTTTGATATTCTTTAATGGGGAACCATTCTGTTTCGGTTTGTTGCCTAGTTCTTCGTAATAAAAATAAGATTTTTTGATTCGCAACTTGTTTGTAACACGGCTAGGCTACAGTTTTTTTTTTATAATGGACCGAAAAATATCAGATGATGTTCAATAAATTTAAATATATAATGACTCGACAATTTCATCTTTCAAACATTTCATTACTTTTTTTTGAGAAAAAAAAAATTTAAAAATAAAATATTCACTCCTTATAACAGCATTTCACAATATGATTAAACCTATCTTTGTATTTATTTACTTCATATTTTTCATTTCATTATTATGTGCTATATACGTCGTTGTTAAATTATATCGGAACGATAAAAATCACATGGTTATAGTTATAGCAATAGGAATGGTGTTTGTTGAATTTCCTGTACTATTAAGCGTCATATGGATCGATGATTTTAAAAGAAAAGTTCCAACCGGGTTTTGCGTTTTTCAAGGAGTGATGGTATGTTATCAAGACGATGATTTTTTAAATAAATGATGTGTATTTTAATTATTCTTCCTCTATTGTAGATTCAATATGGTGCATTTTTACAGATGTCAGGAGGGTTATGTTTTGCGTATCAGACATACCGATTACTCGTTTGTAACAAGCAAGGAATAACAGAAACGTTACGAAAAGTATATGTTGCCTTGGTAATTCTCTATCCTCTTATACCGACTGCAATTTTAGTTTATCTTGCCATAAAATATAATGCCATTAAACCTTTGACTCTCAATTGGTAAGTAATCAATCTTTTTTGATTCTCGAAGGAAAATATTTTTTAATTATAAAAATTTATTTTTTCTTGTTTTTACAATTATTTAGCGATATAGTAAATCCTGTATGGGTTAGGCTTTTTGGGTATTCAGGATCCAATTTCTTACTATCCTTTGTTGGTGTATACTACAGTGGTAAGTGCAATTTTCACTTTTATTTTCCTTTATCATCATTTAACATGTCACTAAGTTTCGTTATTTTTTTTTCATCCCCTTTGATATGACAGGACGAGCGGCGACAGCAGTATTTAGGCATTTGGATCGATTTAAAACTTCAATCACATCATCTATAAGTCATCTCGAATCAGCTCAATCGGACCAATCGGTTCAAACGTCTGAATACGATGAAGAAATTCCTGTAGACCTAGAGAACAATAATACGATTACAATTCCAACATCAAATACCATCCCAACATCGAATAATAATGGATTATCGCAAATAACGGCAAATTTGTCAAAGCAAATTAAAGTATATAACATGACAAAAGCTGCCGCGATACGTATGGTCCTATTCTCTTGCGCGTTTGCTTTTATTAATTTTTTCGCTTCTATACAAACCATATTGATAGTCTTTAAAGGAGGTAAAACCATTGAATCGGGTTTATCGGGTCATGATTGGGTTGGTGCCCTTCAGGGAACCATAATTTTCTTGATTTTTGGTTTACCACATAATGTGAGAAAGTTATTTATACGAGAAGCTCGAATTTAAAAATTCTTCTACTGCTGGCTAGATTGGAATTTTTTTTATTGTACGTTTAATTTAGAAGCGATGTAAAAAGATAGATAAAAAAAAAAAAAAAATCGTCAATAGAGGTTAAATTAATCTACATTATTCGGAATGTAATAAATTAAGAAATGTTGTAGTTCGTCATTGAGGACGAATCATGTAATTAAATTCTTTTTGAAACATAACCAAGTTGATTCATTTTAAAAATGGTGTAAATCAAAAAAAAAAAAAAAAAAGATTACCCAATCGATGGTCTGAAAATCTGATGATAAAATATATTTATTCCTATTTTAATTGGCAAAATGAGTTTGGTTTCGGTTTTTGGTTGTAATCATGTATAAAAGAATTGTAAATATTGAAGAACCAGTAATAAGTGTGAGAAAATTTTTTCAATTTTGCGAATCGATCGCAAAATACTGTTAAACAAGATTGTGTTACCGTATTCGAGGAGCTAGGAAACCGTTACCGAAACATTTAAAGAAATGATTATTGGTTAAAATAAAATATTAAGTTAAATTAAAGGAAGATCGCTCCAAATTTTTTTTTTTTTTTTAGTTAATGATCATGGAGTGATGCATCTAACTTAAACTTTCCTTAATTAAAATCCCTCCGGATATTTAAAATTACATAAGATCCGACTTTTATGCAATTAATAATGCCTTGATTGGATCGGAAAATATTTTACTCGGTTCGATTATCAAATCATTTACCATTTCCCGTTAATTTGCTGAATTGGTGGAAATCCTTAACCAGTTAATAACCGGTTAAAAAATTCTTTAACCGGTTAATAAACCGGTTAAATTTAACTCAGGCCGGCACTATAATTTTGGGCAAAACTAGCGAAATTTTGTAATCGCAAAAAAAATTTTAATTCTGCCCGAAATTAAAATTTCGGCCAGAGTTAATATTAGATATTTTAACCGGTTAAAAAAAATCTTTAACCGGTTAACAAGATAAACGTCTTTACCGGTTAATTAACCGGTTCCAAACTCTATTGGTGGCAAGAGCGCGCATTTATTTAAACCCTTGTAGTAAGATTTCAAAGTCACAAATCATTCTTTTTGTAATGCAAAATTTAAAAATGTAACGTATCGGGACAAAATTATTCAAAACCATTTTATCGTATCCGAAACATTTCGACGAATTTTCAGATTTCATTTAAACTACTTTGAGGCAGTTTTTCTTTATGCGAATTAAAGTATGATTCTAATTCGACATGAAAAGAAAGACAAAAGGACATGATTGTGAAAGTTTTAAACATGTAGACTCGCTCCACTCTCCCTGAAAAAAAAACGACAGGAAATCTCAAAAATCGGGAAATAAGTAAAAAAAAAAAAAAATGTTTTTTTTTATTACAGCAAATTTCATAATTCGCTGAATTCGGACATTCATACTAAAATTTTTGTATAAATATCATATTACAACATAAAAAAGATAATGGTTCAACACATCTAAAACTTTAAAATTAATTATTATATATAAATCCCTTACTTATTATATTTAGCTATCTTTCGATGAGAATTTCTAACTAATCATTTTCTATGAAAATACTGTATGTTGATATTTTATTTAATCATGTAAAATAAAAAAAAAATGAAATTTAAATGTAAATGGTTTCGCAATAAATGGTATTAAAAAATTTATATTATAACCAGTTGTATAAATCACAATGTATGAAATGTCTGAATTCAAACATTAAAATTAAATTTTTAGACGATTATGAAATTTGCTGTAATAAAAAATATATATATATCAAAGGAATTTACAGAATATAAATACTCCGGTCGGTTTACAAGAAGTACTCTCCCTTCTTTTTAATCGTCATTATGACGTTAACCCAAATTAGGATAAACTAAAAGACCATAAATTAGGTTACAACCAAAAAAAAGAGTTTTTAAGACAAAGATTTTCAGTTAATTGATTGAAGCCGGGAAATCATTAATAAAACCTATTTTTTGGGGTTCCGATCATAACGTATGTAAGTTTTAAGATTAAGCAAATTTCATAATAAACCAAGTTGTTTTATTAAATTGTCACTGAAAGTATTCAATTTTACTTTCCATCTTTCAAATATTAAAAAATAAAGAGTGAAAAAGATCCGGGCACATTAATAAAATTCAAGGTTCCCGTTTAAGAGATTTGAGCTTTTTTATTTATTGAATGAAATTGACGGAAAAAAAAAAGTAAATTTATTTTTTCAAAGCATTTGAATATCATTATGATCAAAAAATAAATAAATAAAGTGTATAAATATGATATAAAAACGAAATCATTTCAATACAGCTGTCTTCCCAGTTTTTCCGATGGCTTCAATTATTTCTAGAGATGATTTCGTGGTTTTGACTTGTACATTCTTAGTTTCAAGATCGAATTTGATTTCATCCATACCTTTCATAATAAATTGTAAAAAATTATTAAAAAAAAAAAAAAAAGAGTATTAAATATGAATAATGTGGAATTACCCCCAAGATTATTTAGTGCCTTTTCGACCGATTTTGTGCATCCTGAACAACTCAATGGGTCGACTTCGAATGTTAAGGTTTTCTAAAGATTTATAAAAAAATAAATAAAAATTGGTGTTATTAAATTTAATTACGGGGATTTGAAAGAAAGTTGATGGGACACGCACGTTGTCGCTCATTTTTTTAAAAAATCTTTTAATCGTTGATAAATTTTTTTCGGACTTGAACTTTGTGACATTTTATATATAGTATTTTTTCTTTGATTTGTAATGCTTGCTGATGACACTGATGACACAATCGAACTGATAATCACGCAATAGACCTGATTTCAAGAATTCGGAGATATCCTGATATTAACAAAAGTTACCATTTAAACATTCACAGCAAATTCATTAGTCGTTATCCGGGAAAACATTTAAATGTTCGGACTTATTAATTTATATGGTAATGTAAAGCGATAAATTTGAAAGAAAGAAGTGCAAATTAGAAATTAGAAAAAGTCGAATTCAGTAAATTAGGTATGAAAAGGGTTAATATGGGTAGAAAATTGATCCCAAAGGGTCCAAGAAACTTTATGGATAAACGCTATTACATAACGTGTTAAAAATGAGGTATTAACGCGAGCAAATTATTCTTGTTCAACCAATTGTCATACAGAATTTTAAAATGGATAATCGATAATTTTGTTGCCAGTCTGTTATCAGATAAAGTTTGACATAAAAGATGGTCGTTAAATTGGATATTCGAATTTCCGAAAAAATCTATAGGAAGTTATTTTCAAAATCATCATTATTGTCTGACAAGAAAGATAGATTGCGGAACTTTTATTCTATTTATAGCTCGATTGATTCTATGGACCTATTTTGAACCTTCAAGATAAAAAAAAAAAAAAAAAATTCACACAATTTCGAATTTGGCGATTCTGTTCTTTGTAATGCTGCACGTAGATCAAGCCTAAAATATGTGGCGTCAAATTTCCAAATATGCCTTCTATTTACAAAAATATATATATTAAATAGATTACATAAATGACATATGTTGAAAATCTTTGTTCCACACAAAATGTTCTGCGGCTAGTTTTGATAAATTTGGTTTTTTGTTTTGTTAAAATCAAACTCTGGTTTTTTTTTTGATCTCGATCTTTATCAATAATCTTTGACTGCGGATATGGTGCAAATTTAGCCAAATATGAACTTATACGCTATGCGAAATTTTTTTTTAATTTATGCGTATATTATGTTGACGCAAATTGTTGGCCTGCATCTGCATGTGGAGATACCAGCCCAGTCATTTGGAATCGAAGTTGGCTAAGTCGATTGATTCGATTTTTTTAAAACAAGCAGAGTCTACTCACCATGAACTAAATTTTACAAGATATCAATCAATACATCAACAAATCAAATTTTTTTTTTGATTCGATTGGTTAAATTTCAATCAAAAGGTAACCATTCTGATTCTCTGGCAAGACAAAATAAAATTATGATTGCGAATTTCATGATATTGTCGCGACTCTGTCGGCGGCTGAGTCGATTGAATTCTGACGACTGGCTGAGTCGACTTCATGAGCTGGTATCACTTGCTGCACATAAACTTATGGCTGTGTCACAAACGTTCTCATTTACTTTTTATCGTTATCTATCAACCTTAAAAATAGTTATTGATGACTTGGCTTTATGACATATTTATGACTCGGAATTACATTAATACGGCCGGATTTAAAACTGCACGCAACATTGCCTGATCAGAACTCAAAAAAAAAAAAAGTTCGGGCAATTGATTCCGCATTTAAAAAACAGGTTTTTAAAACATATGATCACGCATTTTGACCAACTATAAAATGGGTTGATCTATCATCTTTCCTTACTCCCCTACTCCCTAATAAATGGATTCATACACTAGTAATTATTATTATTTTTTTTTTGATAATTCAAATGTAACTTATAATTGATTGGATAAATTTAATATTTGAAGGTGATCCTGATTACCGTGATATGTCTCTAGTTTCTCGGGTTGTAAATCCTAGGTCGGTTGTTCAACCTGAACAACGTAGAAGTGAAGGTTTATTTAATAGAAATCAGTATCATCATTTTGGTAATCATCGTAACTCTCAAAATCATCAACATCAACAGCAACCCTCGCAACATAAAAGTCATAACAGCAGTTATAATTATCATGATCGGTATAATACAAATAATAGATATAGTCAACCAATGCAACAATCATTATATTATCTTAGAGAAGAACAACATCGGGTCTACCATCCAAATAAATCTCAAAATCGTAAACAAAATGCCTCACTACCTTCTGTTCCACCACCATCTCCAAAATCCTTTATTACTGAACAATCATATGCTTCAAAAGTAAAAAATATTACTTTACCTCCTATTATAAAATTACCTAAGCAACATGTTGATTTCATTACTTGTAATATTCCCTATGAAGATGGAAAGTTTATTAAGGGATTAAGGATGGTTATCGGTCCGGTAATTTATTAACATTTCGAAAATTTGTAAAAATGAACTTTGACCGTTTTATGATCGTTTATTTATATTTTACATATCTTTGAAGGTTACTGAACCTGATTACAATATCTTTTGCGAGTCAAATATTGTGCATCATCTTCTTCAAAAGAAGGTAAAATGTTTGTCTTTCAAGTTATAATTTGCAAAAAATGTCAATGATTTTTAAATAACTCCACACGGCTAATTTTTAAACAAAATATTAGGATAGTATTGAAAGCGTATCACATGAAAGGTTTACTGAAGCAAGGCAAAAATCAAATCCATACGAAAAAGTTGGCAATTCAATTTTCATGAATAGAGCTGCTGTAAAATTGGCATGTTTGGATTCTCTAATTGGTCTTACAACAATTAAAAGAGATGATCCAGTTAAAGATCATGTAAGTAACCTTTATAAACAAAAAATAAATTTTTTTTCTCTCCTTTCAAAAATTGACACTTAAACGCATAAAAAGGTATTTTGTTTTGCGGACATATGTGGTGGACCAGGAGGATTTACAGGTTTGAAGGAAAATCAATCATTTTCCACCTAACTATATAATATAAATGATAATTTTTTTTTTTTTTAGAATATTTGCTTTGGCGTAAACTTTCTTGGGGAGAACAAGTCTCTGGATGGGGAATTACTTTAAATAACGCGCAAAATTTTGATATAAATAGATTTTATCATGAAACTAATCCAAGAAAATATTTTAATCCGTGTTATGGAGTTGATGACACGGGTAATAATTTTTTTCATCTTTAAACTTACAAAATTTTATCTCAATGTCAATTAATAATAATTATATATATATATAAAACGAAATAGGTGATTTGTATAAAGAAGACAATATCAAAGATTTTGAAAGGACCATAAAAGATGGGACTCGAGGAATTGGTGTAGATTTAGTAACAGCTGATGGTGTAAGTTTATTTTTTTTAAAAAAATGTTTATAAATAGAATCTCATGATTCAATATACAAATTATTCTAATCAAATAGGGATTTGATGTAAGAGGACAAGAACAATATCAAGAAATTCATCTAAAACAACTCATATTATGTCAAGTGCTTACAATGTTTATGATACTCCGAAAAAGTAATTATAATGATTTCCTTCTCTGTGATTATTTTTCATAATCGTTTAATCAATATTCTAAAAAAAAAAAATTACATAATCATAATAATTTTAGATGGTGATTTTGTATTAAAGTTATTTGATATTTTTACACCATTTACTGGAGGTATCGTATGGATATTATATCGTCACTTTGAAAAGATCTGTATAATTAAACCATTATCGAGTAGGCCGGCAAATTCAGAAAGGTATTTTATTCATATTCAATTCAGATAATATGTTCCATGCTAATTCTTTTTTGTACTTTAGGTATATAATCTGTCGAAATTTACGAGAAAATAATCCAACAATTATAAGTTACCTTTTTAAAGTGAATCAAAAGTTTAATGAAATTAAATCAACTAAAAGCAACTCAACTTTATCACCAAAAACCACATCATCCTTTAATCGATTATTAATGCGAGAATATCAATCACATTCTTCGTATTCACGACATTCGAAAATACCAACATTACCAAAGGTGGATATAAATGAAATTATTGATCTTTCAGAAATTAATAAGGATCAAGAATTTTTGAGATATATTAAACAAAAGAACATCGATATTGCTAAAAGTCAGATTAAAGCTATTGAACAATTGTTAAATCTCGTCAAGAATTCGTATCCTTTTTTATGATGATAAATCGAAAAAGTGGAAGAAGGTTAATCCTTAATTTGATTATGATTTTCGATCTTGTAGAGAAATGAAACCACCTAATCAGGAAGAATTCAAAAGACTTTGTTTACGAGAATGGGGATTACCAAGTCAAGAATAAATTTTATTCTCAGGTTTTATTAGTTTCATTTAAATCATAAAATTGTATTATTGACGTTACTCGGAAGTAATTACTTAGAATTACAGAATGAAAAATCGAAAGGAATTTTTTTTTTTTTTGAATTAAAAAAATATATATATATATAAATTATTTTTTTTTGCAAAGTTCTACATACGTTGAAAATTTTCTTTTACTATCAATAATTTATAAAGAATAATTAAGAGTCGTATTACAAAGCAGATGATAATTTATGAATAGCAAGGGGGTCATAGTAATAGGAATGTAAGAAATACATTGTACTGTAGTTATGATTCAAAAAATTAATGTATGATAAATATCATTCTGAATTCAATAGTTCTTAAAAAAAGAGTAAAGAAAAAAATATTATATGTTCAATGTTGCTTCCAAGGAATTTCAAAGTGAAGAGGGAGTGGGGTTTTTTCCTTATAATGCTCCCTTCTAACCGGGAATTCTAATATTGTTGATGTTTCTTTTGCGTTTTTCCATTTACTAGTAGTCCCAGCCAAAACTGTTTTTATTGCGTCATTAGAAGAGATGATTCATAAGAAGTTGTAACGTTGTGAGAGGGAATGTCTGGTGAATAAACCAAATGACTTTTTTTTTTTTTGTGGTCTGGAGCATAGCAAAGGACTATATACTTTTGCGCTTTGTGGTTACACAAAAATTGTGATATAGAAAATTTTATTCTTCAATAAATTTCTTGAATAATTCATATGTTAATCATACTATCAACAATAACAATTTTTCACTTTCACTTTTTAATTATTTGAATTACTTTGAAGCAAACAATTAAAAGAAATATTTAAATGCGCTTGGTTGCACGAGACGTCAGGATGTCCAATCATCATCGACTCAAATTTTGAGCGGGATCTGATAAAAGATGATGATGTGTAAATATATTTTCTCATATTTTCAAGAAATCTAAAAAATGAGTGTTATAAGAGCAAAAAAAATGAATGTTACGGGAGCAAAAATCTGTGATGAATTGCCTTATCCGGAAACCCGAGATATAGTTTTACCAAATCAAACTGAATCAGTTTCCCAGATTGCTGTTGATGTAAATATTTCTTATCATGTTTATATTATTCTGGAATTGTTAATCAATCAAGTTCTAAATTTTCCACACATTAGATTGGTGGTTCTTTAGCCAAAGTAGTTTATTTTTCCAAAAGACCAAATACTTCCAAAGGTGGAAGATTAAATTTTATTAAATTCGAAACTGAAAAAATTGACGAATGTATAGATTTTATAGGTAGTTTAGTTGCGGCAAGAAGGAACCCTGATGTATCTGGTTTGAAGAAAAAAGTTGTTATAAAAGCTACAGGTGGCGGAGCTCATAAATTTTATGATTCTTTTACTAAAAAGTTAAAAGAGGTTGAAGTGGAAAAGGAAGATGAAATGGAATGTTTAATCATAGGTATTAAATAATTTCTAATTGGGTTGGATTGAATTGCCTTAGATTATTATCGCGGTTAAATTTCGTGTTATTAAAAATTTTTAGGACTGAATTTCCTGATCGCAGAAATTCCTTATGAAGTCTTTACATATAGTGAACATGATCCAATGTGCTTTGAAGGTACCCCAACTCCAGCGAATATGTTTCCGTATATGGTAACACTATCGTTTTAATTCTCCCATTTGATTTGATCAGATGTATTCAACAAAACAATTTATTTCACAGCTTGTTAATATCGGGTCAGGTGTAAGGTAAAGAAATGTCTTCTTTAGATTTCTGCTTTATTATGACATATGCTTATCTCATAATAATTTTTAGTATATTGAAAGTAACCGGCTCTGATAAGTTTGAGCGCATCTCTGGTACTTCGGTAAGACTAATTAATATATTTTCAGTTGCGTCGTTAGAAAGCGCACACACATCAATATATATTTTTAATAAGTTAGGAGGGGGTACTTTGTGGGGTCTACTATCTCTATTGACTGGCGCAAAGTCATTTGATGGTACGTTTTATCAAAACTTAATGCAAGTTCCTTAACCTTTAACCGATCTTGAACCTTACTAATTGAATCCCATAAAAGAAATGTTGGAACTAAGCAAAAATGGTGACAACACGAATGTGGTAATTAAGTTTGTTAATTCTTCCATATGTGATAAAGAGTTGATTATTTAATTATATCTTATTTGATAGGACATGTTGGTCGGTGATATTTATGGGTCAGATTATAATAAAATTGGTTTAAAGTCCACAACGATTGCTTCTTCTATGGGTAAAGTATTTAAAAAGAATGTTAAACAAGATGTCGGAAATTTCAGAAGTGAGGACATTTCAAAATCTTTGTTATATATGGTAAGGTAAGGTATTGTTCGAGTTTATGTACCTTTGTAATTTGATTTTAAAAATTAAAATGTTGATTTATTTGAAACTCGTATGGGCACAGCAATAATATTGGTCAGATTGCTTATTTAAATGCTCAAGCTCATGGATTGAAAAGAATTTATTTTGGTGGATGTTTTATCAGGGGTAAATCCTTTTCCTTTTTTTTTTTTCTTTCACCATTTTTTTTACAAAATAAAACATTCCAGAACATTTGACATTCGTGTCTCTTTTGTAGGACATCCAATTACGATGAGTACGTTGTCTTATGCCGTCAGCTTCTGGTCTCAAGGAACAATTAAGGCTTTGTTCCTTCGTCATGAAGGATATCTTGGTGCGGTCGGCGCTTTCCTCAAATATACAAAACAACGTTCTTATTCATTTTCGGAAATCTTTACAAAGCCACAAATGATTACGAAAAATTCCATTAATGCTTATGGAATCTTGGAAAGTACTTCAACGAAATTAGTAGCATTCCCTAAACTAAAAAATTTGGACGAATATCATCCAGACACATTGCAGTTGACAGACCAAACAGCTCAAAGACACTGGATTGATGTATTAGAGAAGAATCTTCATAATCTTGTTGAATTGGCTGTAGAATGGTCTTCGAATGGCGAATATGACGTACAATACAAAGAAGATGTTAAGCGTAGAGCATCATCATTTGATACGTTATTCCGTGGTCATTTGACAAGGTTAAGAGATCAACCTAACATGTATGGTGCTTTGACGGTTCGAAGCCTTTTGGATCTTCGAGAGCAATGTTTACACGAACTTGGGTTTCCTGATATTTTTGCTAAAGTCAAGGCAGAAGAAAATAAGTTAGCGTTAGTTAATTTACAAGAAATATTGAACAAAGTGGATTCTATTCAATCAATAGAAGATAAAATCGAATTATTGATAGAAAATGTTTTGGCCGGTAATATGTATGATTGGGGATCAAGTCAAGTATTGGAAATGCTAATAAAGGGGGAATTATCTTTTGAAACAGCCAAAGCGAAAGTAAAGAGACCTGATCATTTGAACAATACAAGAGCCTTTATAGAAAGGATTACGAGTAAAGATAAACCGCCTCTCAAGAAAGCAGTTATATTTGTAGACAACTCTGGTGCTGACATTATCTTGGGGATAATCCCTTTTGCAAGATTTTTAATCTCACTAGGAATGGACATTATTTTGGCCGCCAATAGCTTTCCCGCTGTTAATGATATTACTGTAAATATCTAGTTCACACTCTTGTGTTTCGGGATTTTACAAGTTACTGATTATATATTATTATTTAAATAGATTGAAGAATTATCAATAGTATTAACTTCGGTCGCGGAAATTGATCATTTAATAGCGGAAGCATGGACATCCAAAAAATTACTAATTATAGGAACTGGTAGCGCAAGTCCTTGTTTGGATTTAAGAAGGATAAACGATGATTTAGCTGACAATTGTAAAAACGTTGATTTTGTTGTATTAGAGGTAATTCATTCATAACGCTTGTTCATGTAAACGTTGATTTGTTTTATTTTATGATAACATTATACCTTTTGCCCTTCATAGGGAATGGGGAGAGCCATTCACACCAATTATAATGTGAAATTTACATGTGAATCACTTAAAATTGCAGTATTTAAAAATGCTATTACCGCGATGGAATTAGGTGCTCATATGTATGATGCGATAGTCTCATATGAAGGATATAGTTAACATACTTTGTGGGAAAAAAAAGGTATATTAATTAGCCTTGTATTTTTATTAATTTGTACTTTTTTCCAATATAAAATAATATAATTTAATGGGTCGCGCCAAGTAATTCATGAAAAAACTCGTTTTCAATGTCACACCAATTTGGGGGCTAAGCCCTAAAATGCATAGTTAAATGCTAATTCCAGCCAACTATATATGTAAACTTGTGGCGTAACTTCATTAGTTGAAAAAAAAAAGTCCTATCAATTAAATAACGCAACAAAAAAAAAATGCATCAAATTAATAGTTTCCTTCTTTATAAATATTGCGCCCATCATACATAATTATGGAAAATTTGCCACAATTTGTTTCTTCCCCGCATGGTTCAAAAAATGCAAGATTTGAAATGTAAGATTAAATGACGACAAGGTGATTTGATGAATTATTTAGTTTATACATTGTTTATTTGGTTTAAAAATTCAAACTATGAAAAATCTAGGGGCATTACACAACTATGTACGACATTATGCTTCGATATATATTATTTACACTTGTTTTATAAAAAAAAAAATTCACCCTCACCTTTTTTAAGACTTTGTTGATTGTTAATAATATTATTCTTTTTTTTAAAAAAAAAAATACTGTCGTTATTTATATATATGGATTTACAAAGTCAAGTGCAAGATCTCTTGGATTTATCAGATCATGTTACTCGTAAGGTTCAACTTCAAAAATTATTATCTATTTACTTTTTTAAAAATAACAAAAAAATAAAAAATTCTCGTATCAATATAGTACTGTTGCAAAAACAATTCGATACTCTTATCCGAAAAAGAACCATGGTAAAGAATGAGAAGGAAGGAGAGGAGGTAGATAACTTGTCTTGCGATATAGCTTTGGCTTCGAGGTCTTTGCAAGGTGATTATTCCGTTATAGTCGAGAACATACATTTATATCTAATTTTTTTTCTTTTTTTGATATTTATTTTAAATCCTTTCTTTAAATAATAGTTTTAAAATCACGTCGTGAAATTCGTACTGCTATCGGTGACTTGATGGAAATCAAACAACAACTTGAAAATTACGGTGATAATCCATCCAGTAACTGGTATGATTACATTCAAGATACGATGGAATGCTTGCATATGCTTTTGAAAAATGGAATTGAAGGTAAATATGCCTTTATATTTATACTTCACGTAAAATTAATAGTTTTCCAAAATAATTTATTTTTATCTTAGTGGCATCCGCTGGAATTTCGATCCCTGAACAAAATTCCGCTTCATATGAACATTTTAACGAAGCACCATTACCCAGAGTTGTTGAAGAAGATATTGTATATAATAATGATCGTATTCATTATGAGAATGTATCACAACCAACGTTACAGCCCGTTCAAATGGATGATTCTAATCATAAAATAAAAGAAAGATGTGTAAATCTCGAAGTTCCGCAAGAGAATCTTTCAAAATCAAATGGGATAAGGCGTCATACAATGGATTCGGAGAATGTATCAGTGGCTCGTTTGTTAGTTGGAAATCTTAGATTGAAACAATCCCCTTCCAAGGCTTCAATCACTACCTCTATTTCATCAGATCAAGTTTGCACGAATCCCGCACGAGTTCCATTCTGGTCAGCCGAAGCCACTATTGATAATGAATATGACAAACGACATTCACCTGCCGTGAATCACTTGTCTAAAATAATCATCCATGAGAATGAGGAATTGAATGATGAATTCGTTGATGCCGTTGAAAGTCAAGATTCTAAAGACTTTGGAGAAGCACAGCTAAAGGAAGAGATATATTCTCTTACTAAAAAATATAATATGAAACATGGGAGTTCAATTTATTCCCTACCAACATCTTCTGATTCGGTGTTTGAGGATGATTCATTTTCACAAGTGGTATTGTTACTACTATCTATTTATCCCCAAACATATTTTATAAAAATAATTGCTAGCACGTCAACTAAATTACTTCTCATTTTCTTTATAGAGTGATAATGATGACACATTCTCTGATTTGTCATTTGTTCCTTCCATATTATCTTCACCGCCTTCACCAAAACCCTCTACTTTTCAGATTAGACTTAATCGTTGTGATAGACCAAATAATCTATTTGCCGAAAAAGTTACCGTCAGTAATCCTTTGCGAATAGGCTCTGGAATCGGTTCATATGTTTTATATACTTGTACAGTCAATGGGACAGATGTAAGGAAATTAATAGATTTCCAATTATCCAGTTTAATTATAATTCAATTAATAATTTATCAAATATACATATAGGGATTAAGGATCGTAGTAAGGAAAAGATATTCCGATTTCGTTAAATTGCGATCACAACTTGTCAAGGCACAACCCAAATATCGCAAAATTATTCCAAATTTACCACCTAAAAAGATTCTGGGTAAATTCATGCCCGAATTTATTGAAAGACGTCGTAAAGACATGGAATACTTTCTGAACTATGTATTGCTTCATCCTGTTTTAGGAACTACTCCAGTGGTTAGATGGTGGTTTATGGATTAATGATTCGTCAAATTAATATCATATTGATATGGAATATGGAATCTTTAAAAGTTTTCAAATTCACAATTATTGTTTGGGTTTCATTGATAATATGCTGGTTTTATTAATAGCAGAACATTTCTTGTGTTGATTTATCCTTTATTGTTTGTTAGATTGCATTTTTTTTTTTTTTTTTTTTTTTTTTCATTGGACAATTATTTATTTGCATTTTTTTTTTATATATTATTTTTTTAATTTTTATCACATGTTAATAATTTCTTATTGTATATATCTAATAGTTTGGTTTTTATTTGTTTATATATCATTTCTCGTATATCATTTCTCGTTTTATGAAAAAAAAAAAATTTTTTTTTTTAAAAGAAAAAAGGATATATATATATATATATATATTTCACATAATTAAGTATTTAAAATAATTAAAAATAAGTGATAATTTCATATTGAGAAGGCAATTTTGAGTTATACGTTATGGATCATCTGTTGATAAAGAAATTTTTATTTACACTAATTTATTTATATATTAATACTTAAACAATTATAATAATAATTTGAAGCAAACTCATAAACAAATTACGAGATGAATTATTAGTTATTTGTGCCTAGATTAGCTTCTTCCAAAGTTTTTTTTGTATTATCCACACATTTGAGTCTCACTTCGAACTCTTCAATTCCAGAAATGATCAATAAACTTAAACTTTTTTTATATCAGAATATTATCCATTCTCAAAGGATTGGTTTCCTGTTTTCTTCGTATTTCATAGCAAAGCATCGTACCGCTCCAATACAATAAATATAAACGATAATAAAATAATGCAGGGTCCTGAAGGGTATCATGTTTTGCGACAAACATACCTTTAAATATTAATTAATATAAGACAATATAATATAATTATAAAAAATTTGAAAAAAAATATGTTTTTTATCTACCTAATAATGGTCCACTCATTGGACTCGTGGAGGTAGTCGATACAAGTGGAAGATACTTTTCTGGATATAAGTAATAACTTTCATCCCCATTATCATCAATGATTCTAAATATACAACAAAAATTAATTGACCAGAAAAAAAGTCTTTTTAATATAAGATGTGAATATCATTACTTAATGAGTCGGGTCAATGCGACCTTTCCTTGTTGGCTAGCCACAATCGTGAGTGAAAGATCTGGTATCACCTATTGGAAGGGCAAATTTAGGTAAGATTTTATATCATACAAAACTTTTCAATGTTAAAGGGCGATCTAAACGAATTTGTGGTAGAACCTCAATCATATTTAATCGATCATAATCTCCATATGATAAGAACCGTCTTGTATCTACTTTACATACTACATCATTTTCGGTTCGCAATACATCCAAGTGTGATTTTGGATCAAGAATAAATAAATCATGCTTTGACGTATAAAGGACTAACTCATCAGAAAGTTGACGACGGGCATCATGGACATCCGAAATATCCATTGAATCAAAGGCAATCTTTGATGGTGAATCATCATATAAAGGAACCGATCGTGCATCGCTTGAAGAAGTCGCACCCTCATTCGTTGGAACATTTGTAGTGTTCATAGGTGATTCCTGGGCATTATCGATATTAATTGATGGGGGATCGCAAATATTGACAGTGTTCATATGTGATGATTGAGAGTTTGATTCAATTTCATGATTATCTGGACTGGGTGATGGTGACTCCCGCTGTAAATCGTTTATTATAGATGCTATGATGGTTGAGTAAGACGGGGATGATTCTCGATTCACCGGATTATATTCCGTTGATGATATTGGAGAATATGTCGGAGACACTGGAGAATAACGTGGTGACGATAAGTTTTGTGGAAAAGTTGGTGAGTATGGCGTTAGTATGGTTGAAACTCGTGAAGAATGTTCAAACAATGTGGGGGAATAATGAGGAGATGTAGGTGAATAATTTGAGGAATCATGTGGCAATGAATGATATGTTGGAGTTGCAGGAACTTGAAGTGGTGATGTTGGAGAATAATGCGGAGATATAGGTGAATATTGCGATGATGACATCGTATATCGAGGTGAAGTTGGTATGGACGTTGGCGAATATTGGGGAGAAATAGGTGAATAATGTGGAAAAAAGGGTGAGTGTTGTGAAGAAGTAGGTGAATAATGTGGTGAGGTTGGAGAATAACGTGGAGATATGGGTGAATAATTTGATGATTGAGATGAATGTGAAGATGTAGGCGAATAATGTGGGGAAACAGGTGAATATCGTGGAGAAGTAGAAACGTAATTAGGTGAGAATGGCGTGAATTGAGGTGATACTGGTGAATAAGAAGGAGAATTTGGAACGTATCGTGGGTTTGTAGGTGAGGATGGTGATAAATCTGGAGAATTTTGTTGATAAGATACCAATGGTGTACTCATGAAAGACACTGGTGAATAACTTGGGGAGAAATTTACATTATTCTGATTACCTGATGTTTCGGATGATAGGTTAGGGATCAAGTGTGATGGAGCAGACGTTGCAGTTTGCGGCGATGATGTCGTGGATCTCGGAGAATATGAAGGTTGTACAGGCGAGTAAGCTGATGTTGAAAGTGAACCTTGAATAGGAGATCTAAGTGTATCTTCCTCCGCTATTCCCTCTGACCTCTCTCCATCATGATCATTTTTCGATTCACTTTCTGCATTCCCGTCGCTTTGTTCATGATTACTTAAAATGTTTAATTCATGTCCAACTGACCATCTGTAATCCGGATTATTTTCCGTATAATTTTCTACAACAGGGGTAGTTGATTCAGCACGATCATAATAAGCTGGAGTAGAATTCCCTTCAACTTCCAAAGTAGGTTCACGATTAGTAGATCGTAAAATAGGATAAGCTGACGACATAGTAATTTCTTCGTTGTTGGATGCTCTATCCCCATCATGAAGTTCTATGACACGTTGCTCCTCGCCATCACTATCCGTTTCTCCTTCGGTATAATCATTCTCATTTGAATCTTCTTCCACATCATCTGATTCTACCCCTGTAACATCAGATCTATCTTCCATGTAACCATCCTCGTATTCTGTTATTCTAAAACGTCCAACCCTACGCATATCGTCTGAATCATGATCGATATGAATCTGATCATCATCAAAATCGTATCCATAATCACGAAACATATTATTAGTTGACCTAACTTGCTGAGAACTTTCTGGATTTGGAGTTAGATGACTGCAAACTTCACTATTAGGAGAAACAGTTTTGAAGGCAGATTTAGAGACAAAATTTGCCGTCCAACCCCTATGAAGAAATCAAAATGATTAATCACCATATTGACTAAAAAGTGATAAATAATGATAATGATGATAATAAAATTCAAGAACAAAATCAAAATCAATATTCATACCAATCTTCATTCATTTCATACCAATCGTCATTGATTTCATCCCCATGACGAACCAATACCTTTGTTTGTATCAATTCTCCATTTTTAACATTCCATAGCCGACATGTATTGTCAATACTACATGAAACCAAAAATCGACCGCACGCGCTAAAACATATATTAGGGATATTATTTTCATGCCCTTGAAGCACAGATTTTGCTTTCCCACCAAGTGCATCATCATCTGAAATTTCTGAAGCATATGTTTTTGGAGTATGTGATTCTTCTTCACCAGAACTATCTAAATCATCATAAACAACATCATCATCCAACTCATTAAAAAACTGAACACTCTTTTGTAAATTAAAAATTGTAATTGAATGTGAATTGGCACTCACTGCCAATAAACGTTTTGGACCATGTAATGCTATACCCCACGTTGATACATCATTGCTGCATAGACAAAACAAAAAAAAATTTTAATAAATTTAAATATCAAATTGCAGATAAATTACGACTTACTTGAATTGTATTGGATTTTTATCGAGATTAGCCGTAAACCATACAAAAACATCACCTAAATCATCAACACTAACAAGTACTTCCTCATTACCGATGTTACCAACTTTTATAGCATTAATCGTACGGCTCTATATAAATCAAATTAATATTGAGATCTCATTTAATTAATAAAACGAATAAACATAACTTGAAAGATTTGATCAAATAAAGGTACTTTTAAACTCTCGTCTATAGGGCATTTCAATTCCTTAATAGGTACACCTGGCTTATAATCCAGTAAGCCCAACCTATACACATAAATAATATCAGTTTTCGCAACAAACATGATATTCTTATTCCTGTCAGAAACAGCCAATAAATTCATCCGCTATAAAAATCAAACATTTTCATTAATAAAATCGATCCTGAACGTTTTTATGACTTTTAAATTTTTAAACTCTGCATACCCATAGCGAACATTGCTTTTTAAATTGAAATCGATGATTTTCAAATAAAGGGTTTACCTAAAATACAAAAATTTGATATATTTAATTGACGATACTCCCTTAGAGAGCATTGAAATCAAAGAATTAACATATTATACCTCCAGCTCATAATAATCCATATTTGTTTTATTTATTTAATTAAGGAAATTTCAAATTTTAAATGGTTTTTTATCATTAAGCTGTGTAACGTTACAAAAAAAAAGTTTAATTTATAATTTATTTTTATCTAAATTTAGTCATAATCTTCAATTATAACGCACCGGTTACACAAATATTTTTATAATAAATACTTTAAAATCTTTGAACTAAATTAATATAAAAAGTTAAATAATTTACTTTATATTCTAGCCAAATTTGCATTAAAATGATAAATTTTATAATTATAAGAATTGTAATTAATATGTAAATAATCAAATAATTTTGATTATAATATATTATAAAAATTGATACCTATTACTACTATATTTTTACATTTATGACTATCAAATAATATAAGATACTCAATGATGACTTTGGACAAGGTCCAATTGATACGATTTGGACTATTAGAATGGACTAATTGGACTAGTCCACTCCAAGTCCAATTGCAATTGAACACTAATGGAATTGGACTAAGTCCATATTAGTCCAATAAAATATTGGACTATGTCTAATAATATTGTCCAATAGATTTTAACATATTAATACTTCATTAAAATATTATATTATTAATATGTAATAATGCATTTATATATGATATATCTTTAATTATTTTAATCACATAATTTAATAATAATAGTAATAAATAATAATAAAATAAAAATAAAATGATAAAAAAAAAATGATAAAAAAAAAAGCCTAAGAAGGGGGGGTCTGGGACTCAGTCCCCCCAGAAAAATTTTTAATATTGCTTATAATATCAAATCTAATTATATTTACATATACTTTAAATTTATGTTTTATATCTAATTTTTTTTAATTCTGATAACAAATTATCGTTTAATAGCCAATTTAAAATAAAAAATTCTTAAATTTAGTAAATAATGTTTACATTAAGCATTAATTGTAAGACTGAGTTTAGTAATAACAAAGAATAAAAATGATAATTGGAGGATAAAGTTTTGAAATATAATTAATAAAATTCATATTAAAGAGTATTGATTAGGTTGATCCATTACTTTTAATAGCTATTTGTTTTTCTTAAAATAGCAAATCATTGCTTAGTAAATTAATTAATCACAGAATTTTCTGCAATAATTGCACTACAAAATGATTTACAATTTTTTTATTAATTTAGGATTAGTTACTTTTTAAGTGATCACATATTTAAAAGAAAACTTTCCGACTTTCCACATTTTTTTTTTAAAAAAAAATGTAATCTTTAAATTTAATAATTTACAAAAAAAAGGTAATAATTGTATTAAAAGCCTTTACTTAAATTTTTTTTTAATATAGTTGAGGTTTCAATTCTCCGATTATCTATTAAAAAAAACAGTAATTATTTTCTATTATATATTTTCGCTATATTTTATTTGCAAATCATTTTTAACGTTTAATCATTTAAATTCTAAAATCAACTAATCAAGAATTTAACGATTTATATAAAATCGTTAATGTAATGCAAAAAAAATAGATCACCATGATCTTTTCTCTTATTTTTTAACAATCATATAATGGGTCATCAGGAGCATTTTTTAACACCATATATTGTAGTCCTTCATTTTGAACAAAGAGCAAATAAAAGTAATAAGTATGCAGTATGTCGTGCTTATATTAATATACTTGGAAAGGATAAAGCTTATAAGAACAAATTTACAAATACAAAAAAGGAATGTATACATCATTTTTGAGACTGTACAAGTTTCGCAACTTTATATACACCTGAACAAATAAATGAGTTGCTTGATAAAGCTAAAAAGATGAAGCCAAATCTAATAAACCAGCAAAAAAATGAACACATATCATATTAAATGATCTATTCAGTGATGAGGACCCTGATTCTGAAACTGAAACAAATATAAATCTATTATATAAGGTTGAAAATAAAATTATTCCTATTCAAAATGAAAGTGTTTAGGATAATTATATTTTTCGTTTATTAACATCATCTCAAGTATCCAAACTTGAAGAATTTTTGTTAGAAGTAACAATCTCGTGTGGCTTTTCATTTCAATGGATAGAAAATGATACTGTAAAATGATTTTTTCATTGGCTTAATCTAATGATTATATTACCATCATGAAAGGTATTAAGAGGACGAATTCTTAAAGAAGCAACTAAACAGATATCAATAAAGTTACTTGATGGTGCAAAAGATAATCCATTAGGTGTAACACTTGCTTTTGATAAGTGGAAGAATGTATCTCGACAACATCTTCTAGGTGTTATTTTAATTAATTTTTCTGGTGATATGATTATTTGGAAAGCAATTGATTGTAAATGAAAAAGAGTAACTGGAAATAACATTATATAAATTACTGAAGAACTATTTACTGAGCTCCAACAAATAGATATTAAAGTTAATGGTTTAGTTACAGATTCAGCTTCAGAAAATACTGCAGCACAGTAAGTTAAAATAATATAAATTAAAATTTTAATTGATAATTTCTAATTATTTAATTAATTATTTATTTATTATAATTAATAATAGCAAACGTTTACGAACTTTACATCGCGAAAAATTATTTTTACCTTGTTTTGCACATCAAATGAATCTTTGTGTAGAGGATATCTTTAAAGAATCAAGTGCTATCACTACTTTAGCTGAACAAGCAGTTGCAATAGTTAATTTTTTTAATCGATCAAAAGTATGGTTTGGTAAATTACATAAAGAACAAGCTTTAATATATAAAAACTAATATTATGCATTAATTGTTTCTAATGAAACTTGTTGGAATTCTCATTATCATTGTTTTGCAAGTTTATTAAGAACAAAATCAGCTCTTAAAGTATTTATTAATTTTTTTTTATAATTTTTTTATAATTTATTTATTATATTTACTAATTAATTAATAATTTTTAGAATCTAGCAACTAAAATAGAAGAACAAATTACTAATGATCTTTATGATTTTCCTGATGAATATCTTGGATATATTTCAAATAATAATTGGTAGAATGATCTTAAGCAATTGGAAATGATTATGCTTCCTTATTGTGCTGCTTTAAACCAATTACAACATCATAACTCTTAATTACATGAAGTACTTCATAGTTTTAGAAATCTAGTTACAGTTTTAAAATCTCTTACTAATAAAAATTTAAGTAAAAAACTTTTAAAAAAATTAGAAAAAAGGTGGACTGATTGGGAACAACTTCTTTTACTTTTATCATTCTTACTTTATCCTAAATATTGTATAAACAAGTTTAATCCTACTATAGAAAATATTTCGTTTCCTCATCTTAGGCGATAGATTACTTATTATTATTATGCTTGGTTTAATGAAAAACTAACAACATTATTGGTTGAATTAGAAGCATATAGAAAACAAAAATATCTGTATAATGATGCTACTATACGTCAATTTGATCAAGATATTTTAGGATTTTGGAATTATATATATAGATATTCAAAAGAACTTTATCATGTTGCAGAACGAATTTTTTCGATTGCAGTAACAACCGCATATTTAGAAAGACATTTTTCTACAATAGGTTGGTTACATTCAAAATGACGAAATCAATTAGAGGTAAAAATTTTATTTATTTTTATTTATCTTTATAAATTATAATATACTAATAATTTATAATTTAATATAGTCTAAAAAAGCACTTGATATGACACAAATACGATCTTCCATACTACAAAAATTAAAATTTAAAAAAATTGATAATGAGGTATGCAAGTTTAAAAATACAAATGTAGCATTACCTATTTCAGCTGAAATTAATAATGACGATAATGAATATAATACACCTAATATATCAGATGATAGATTATCTGATGAGGAAAATGATAATATTATAAATGGTAATATACAAACAGTTAGTGATTGGCAAAGTATAGTTTCAAGATACAGTGGCGCTCAAAAGTATTGCATCACCTGAACACAAATTTTAAAATGGTAATATCTTGTGATTAAAAATGCGC